TGAAAGGGGCCTCGTGGCAAGCCCCGAACACCACGGGATATTGCCAAGGCAAAGTAACAAGGTCTCCACCAGTGTGATAGTTGACACTTCATCACAGCAAGATACAATGGTGGTTGGCTTGTTGGTATGTTTTACCTTGTTTGTTCACTGATTTTTTTTTTTCGAACACATATCTTACCTCTCCATCCAGACAGTAAAATTCTTTGCAAGAAGAGGAACTGTTTCAAATCTCTTAGACCCCACTGACTCCCACTGAAAATCAGGAAATGCGATAGTTTGAATGTACAATGTCCCCCACAGACTCATGTGTTTGAGCACTTGATCCCCAGTTGATAGTCTTGTTTGGGAAAATTGTGGACTCTTTGAAACAAGTGGCAGGGCTAGCAATGGTGAGTCAGTGGGTACCAGTTTTTAGGGTTATACCTCATCCCTGTCTCTGGCCCACACTCTTTTATTTTTCCTGCATCTGAACCACAAGTTACTACCACCCCAGACCAAGTCACCTCAGCCTCCATGTCATCTCTACCACGGTCTCTAGCCCTTGAACTGCGAGCTTTCCTTTAAGGTGCTTCTGTCAGGCATCTGTCATGGTGATGATGAAGGTGAGAAATGTAGGTAATAAAATATAACTTCGGTCTCCACATCCTCATTTATGTTGGTTAACAAACACAGGAGATGGAGCTAAACGGTTTTAATAGACTCATCGAGAGCAGGTAGAGCCCTACTGCTATTCTACAAAGCTCTCTAATCATAATTGCATAATTAATACTTAATGAAAGCTAGCTCACTAGGCTACACTGTATTGTGAGTTACGTTTATACCTCTAGATAGTTCGTGATCCAACTTACACTTCTAGAGGTATGGTAAATTTTATAAATCCATCTGAGACATTGTTCCTTAATTCCAAAGTCCATAGCCAATTCCTTATTGGATAATGGATAACCACACAACCTAACACAACTTCTCCCCCCAAAACAAATTTGTCTGCTTCAGTTGATGGATAATATTCTTTCCTCAAACCAAAACACCCAGATATCCAGAACATTTTTTCTTTCTCATCCTATGTCTGTCCCTAGAATCTTTTTGATTCTACCAAAAAGATTAAAACATATACACAGCTCTAACAATTCCCACCACAATTACTGTTACCCCCTTAGACCTAGCCACCATCATCAACCATACAATTCCTATTGTCTCTTCTCCCATCTTTGAAAGGCTCCTGTACTAAAAATTATTGGTGGAAATCTATAGCCCTAACAGTGGTTTACAGGGTACTACGGGATTGAGATCTACCATGTTCCCAGATACATGTCATTCCCAGATCTCTTGTCATTGCCCTTCCCTTGGAGCCCACCTCTAATGACACTAGACTGATCCTACAGAGTACTCGCTGTTGGGTCTTTCCAAGCGCTTTTCCTGGTATGTTCTTGTCCTTGGTACCTTCATGGCTAACTTCCACTTCCCCTTAAGGCCTTATTCAAATGTGACTTTCTTATCTAAGTTATCATAACTACCCAGTTCTAAACTGAAATCTTCATTCTCCTCCATACTTTTTTCTCTACAGCAGTATCACTGTTTCCTGAGAAACCGTCTCTCTTGGTCATCAAGTACAGATGCACGACTGAGCAAGAATCTCATTTGCTGCTCTCTGAACTCCATCTCTGCGTTTGCATCTAAGCTCTGTTTTCCAGAAGCTACTCCCAGCCAGTCATTGAATGTGACAGGAATACCAGTATGAGTTCATTCCTACAGGACACAGGAACACTCTGATAGCTGCCCTGGACCCCAGGACTCCCAAGTGTTATGACCCATGTCTCTTAGACAGCACTGCACATTCAGCTGCTCCCACACAACTTTCCCTTTCCCGTCCACTCAGATTCCCAAACTGCTCCAGTTTCAGCCTTTTCTGCTTACCTCCCAATTTTCCGTCTTGTATTCATATCTCATAATAAACTTTTGCCCACGTAGGCTTTCTTGGCATTTGTTCCTCAGAGGCCCCAGTATAATACAATCACCTTACATATTGCATTTTATATTTGTCTTTTATTGTTTGCTAGAATATGAATTTCTAGAGAACAAGAGTTTGCTTATTTAAGCATCACATACACCTAGCGCATTAGTGCCTGGTGGGCAACCAGTAAAATGAATTGAAGGGGAGAATGCCTGAAAGTGTTTGAAAAATATTATCAGCTTTAACAATATTAATTATGTAAATTAGAAAACACACAATACTCACCAGCTCTCACAATTCTGCCCCATCATAAATTCCTCTTGCTTGCCTCCCTTGCCCCAGTAGAAAAATCTTTTCATTTTCCTACAGCAGAAGTGAAATTTGGGTGATAAATTGATTTTAGGAAAAGATCCACTTTATTGATTGGGTGACTGCCCATTAGTTTTGGCAAGCAAGTGCAGAACTGACTGAGCTATTCACCATGGCTTCTCTCTTGTCCTTAGCATCCGTCAGGATCTACAGTTAAATAAGCAAAACCAAAAGCTTTGAAGATTTTATCTGTTTTCTTTTTTATTTAAATATTCATCCAATAATAATCAAATTTGATCCCTGCCCGATTCGAGTTCTTATTCTCTTTATCCAAATATCTCTCAAGAACAGGGGAACAAAGACGAGCTTTTCTCAAGCATGATCTCAGACTCTTTTTGAAGTATATTTTTAATCATTTGTGTAGGTGGTGCCCATGTGTGCAGGTGCCTGCAGAGGCCCTGGTGTCAGACCTCCTGGATCTGAGGTTACAAGGGATTGTGGGCCCTCGATGTAAATGCTGGAAATCAAACTCTTCCATTTTATTCCCAGACGGTAGGCAGACAGATCTCAAAGCCCATACCAGTGCCACACCTCTTCAGTCAAGGACATGCCTTCTAGTCCTTCTTAAAACAGTACACTAACTTCAGATCAAGTATTTGAATGCTCTCAGCTGCTTCTCCAGCGCCATGCCTACCTGCTGCCGTGCTCCCCACCATGATGGCCACGAGTTCACCCTCTGAAACTGTAAGCCAGCCCCCAGTTAAATTGTTTATAAGTTGCCATGGCCTTGGTGTCTCTTCT